AAAATGTTCACTTCTTTGTTAATGCGGCGAGTTCTTTGTAGTCGCTGTTTTTCGTTGCCGTCTAGTTCTACCAGGTTGGTTTGTCTTTTTTCTTACTCAACTTACCTTTTGGATAATTTATCACAGATTATTTTGTACAATTGCAAAGTCCTCCTTGCCACAACGTAAAAGCCTTCTGCGATTCGATACCTCACTATGGGCCACCTTCAGGAGAAATGCAAGCTCTTTTAATTTTCCAGGTGTTTCAATAGTTGAATCTTTACTTTTAGGTTGTCACTGTTGAGACCAAACGAGCTTCCATAAAACTGAAAAATGCCTCCTGGAAAGATTTGAAAGCAATATTTGCCTTAGCTGGGCCATATAAATGGAGAATCATGTGTGGGTTCCAGGCCAGTCAGTCTTAAATTTTTTTATCTTATTGGTATTCTGTAGTGGGCCTCTCGTTTCTTGGCGTTAGCAGCTCGGTTTTTTTGCTGACCCCTCGAATACTTGGAAAGCTAATCGATGAGTTTGATGAAACGAGGAAGTCCAAACCAGAGGATGAGGATCAAACGCTTCGATTAGCAAGGTAGGATATCACTTGTTATCGTGTTAGGTGACGCTAATAATGTTTCCAACCAAGGAACATTTTATATACATTTTGATGGACTTTTAGAAATTAAGAGTTACATTTTCTTGAGCTATTTCACATTTTGATTCTTTAGCTGTATGATTTTGTGATCTCAGAGCAAGAAAACTTATATCCACAGTTATTACTCAAATGGATTAGAATTCACTTTGGAGGAATTTGCATAAACCTCAATCGAAACATTCTATGTTATCAATCTCATCACCATTAAAACTGTGTTCCTTATGTAACATATGCCCCTTTTCAGGTATTTCAAAGAAAATCCCATAGCACTCGGTGGTGTACTGCTTTTGGGGGCTGCTGCTATTGCTGCCAGAGTTTATTGCATGCATACGGCTGGTGAGTTGTTTCATTTTTTCAAAATGAAATTTACAATTCTCCTATACAGGCCAACTTGTCGTTAATGATCTTCGCAAGAAAGTATTTAACGCAGTTTTGCGGCAAGACATCGCATTTTTTGACAGAAATAAGGTAATTCTTTAAGTTTTGCTTAACCCACTGTGTTCATCAACTT